CTTGCATGTGATATTCATGTAAAAGAATGATAAAAGTCAACTATCATTGATTACTCCTAAAAGTGGATTGTATTTGTTCTAATGTACTGTATTCATTACTTTGACATATGTTATAGTATATTTGCTTCAGAGAGATACTGTAAATCAGCTGATATGCGGGCATTTATATTGTCAGTTGCTAAAAAGGTTCAATCTTTTGTTTAGGTGTAATGAATTTTTGAGGAATGTGAAACACATTTGTGTGCCCAATCAGTTGTGCTTGAACATTAGCATAATATATTAACCCGGCTCCCTATTACTTGATACTCCCTAATACATTTGGATTGGTCAGTCTTGGCAATCTGCATAATTTTTGTATAATAACCAACAAACTGTACTTAACTAGTTTATATCTTTCATATAATCCCACAGTCTCTTTCATCTCACATAATGAAATAATTTCAAACCAAATCAATATTTCATGTCCATTTCCCAGTCGCTGCATAATTAGCTCAATAATATACAGTGAGCCAGTTATTATCACAGAAGAAATCCCTTAAGGATGATAAAGACCCTTTTATCGTGGGGTTTATTCTGTGACAGTGACCAAACTGACTGTACATTGAGTCACATTGGGGGCAGTCGTGGCCTAATGGTTAGAGAGTCAGACTTGTAACCCGAAGGTTGCGGGTTCGAGTCTCAGGTCCGGCAGGGATTGTAGGTGAATGTCCAGCGCTCTCTCCACCTTAAATAACACGACTGAGGTGAGACCCTTGAGCAAGGCACCGAACCCCCAACTGCTCCCCAGGCGCCGCAGCACTGGCTGCCCACTGCTCCGGATGTGTGTTCACGGTGTGTGTGTGTGTGTGTGCGTGTTTGTTCACTATCCACTGCTGTGCACTTGGATGGGTTAAATGCAGAGCACAAATTCCAAGCCACACGTCACGTCCTTTCCTTTCCTTATATATAGAATCGAGCAATTTTCTGGACAAATCTTTAGTTCCTTGCATTCATTGTTACAATTAAACATCTCTCATTTAATTTACATTCTTATCAGGCTATAATCAATGCATAGAATTATTCCATACAATTACTTTAATGTTCTGATGGTGGTACTACACTAGGTAATCATTATATTCCTCTTTTTGTATTTTTTTAAGTACTGTACATGAGGAGACATAACATATTTTAGAGTGTACTACCTACACACAGAATTGATTGAATATCTCTGGCTGTGTTTGTATGTGCGTTCATATCGTTTTTTTTATTGGTGTTTTGCCTCACATAATATTGTTCCCATTTAGAGACTCACACCTCCCAAAAGAACTGCTGTTTATACCTTTTGTGGATATTGTATGTGATATACATTCTGTATACACGGCATGAAGAGTGTGTGAGGTCATGTGATTTAAAAAAAAACAATTGTTAGTGTATTTTCTCTGAAATATCAGTTTTCATTTGCTCTGATTGGATATGACTGGTAATGCTCGGCTGTGATTGGTTCATGCGATAAATCCTGCCTCTTGTGTTCATGTGCGCGTTTGCGAATCAGTCTGAATGAACAATATATGGTGTTAATGGGAAGACTAATTTAAGAAAGTAAGTAAACAACTCATACATTTAAATATAACCACTTTGTTACTTCAAAATAAGACTTAAAATGGCCTGAAAACCTGATCTGTGGGAGATTTTAGTGAGTAATCAGCTTGGTGAAATTTAAAGTAAATCTCTGTGTCTGTGAGAAATATTTGCAGAGCTTTGCTGACTGATGATCCGAAAAATTCGAAAATAGTTAAAAGTTAACTATTAAAAAGTATAGTTGAACATAAGTTCATAAATAAAATATATTGTTTCAATTCTTACTGCCTTGAGTTATTATTTTGGAATAAATGTAAAATGCTTAAAAACACTAACTTGATGAGATTCATACTTGGCTTTAATAAACAGATTATTGATTACATTGTTAATGTAAAAAATATTAAATAGAATTGCTTTTTCGTATACTTTTTCTTTTTCTGATAGTGTAAGTGTTTATTGTAATGTTTATTTAACCAAGAAAATGGGACTGGGACATGAATTTACATTTGATTTAAAAAAATAAAAAAATAAACTTTGAGGACTTTGCCTCCTCATTTCAGATTACCACCGAACACCACTGATATATATACATATATATATATATATATATATATATGTATGTGTGTGTGTGTGTGTGTTTTATTCACATATCTTTGTTTCTTATTATCTGTATGTTGTTGTTGTTGTCTCTGTGTACTGGAAGCTTCTATCAGCAGAACAAATTCCTTGTATGTGCAAACATACTTGGCAGTAAAGCTCTTTCTGACTTCTTATGCTGACTAAAATGGTACCAGTTTGTGCACAACACACTGTAGAGAGAAGTGCCAGTGGCTTGGATGTAAGATTTAGCACTTTGTGAAATGAGAGGCTGGTCTTTTGAGGAGTAATTGCACTCAGAGCTGTTTTGCCTCTGCAGTTTAGAGGGAGAAGGTGATAAAGAGGGATGGCAAGTAATGGAAGGAAGGATAACACACACCACAGCGTGTTTGTTCACTATCCACTGCTGTGCACTTGGATGGGTTAAATGCAGAGCACAAATTCCAAGCCACACGTCACGTCCTTTCCTTTCCTTATATATAGAATCGAGCAATTTTCTGGACAAATCTTTAGTTCCTTGCATTCATTGTTACAATTAAACATCTCTCATTTAATTTACATTCTTATCAGGCTATAATCAATGCATAGAATTATTCCATACAATTACTTTAATGTTCTGATGGTGGTACTACACTAGGTAATCATTATATTCCTCTTTTTGTATTTTTTTAAGTACTGTACATGAGGAGACGTAACATATTTTAGAGTGTACTACCTACACACAGAATTGATTGAATATCTCTGGCTGTGTTTGTATGTGCGTTCATATCGTTTTTTTTATTGGTGTTTTGCCTCACATAATATTGTTCCCATTTAGAGACTCACACCTCCCAAAAGAACTGCTGTTTATACCTTTTGTGGATATTGTATGTGATATACATTCTGTATACACGGCATGAAGAGTGTGTGAGGTCATGTGATTTAAAAAAAAACAATTGTTAGTGTATTTTCTCTGAAATATCAGTTTTCATTTGCTCTGTTCTGTGACATAAAAGCTACCGCAGATCCCTAGTTTCCAGACTCGTGATCTTTATTGTTGACTGTTTTATAGTCATTTATAGCTTTCTTATGCAAACATATTTCCACCACAGAATAAAACAACGCAAAAGGTTATTGCCCGGGATGCACATAAGTGATGCACAGCTGTGCATGCATGACCAAAATAAAAAATGTGCTGGGTAAACAAGTTCGGACCGCTCATTTGTGTACCAACATGGTTGACAGCTGTTAATGCACAATCACCATTTTAGATTGACTAACTGTAGTACTGTATAAGATTTCCATTCCAGCTGAAAGCATAAATATACTCTATGCGCTGCCAGTTTCACAGCAAAATGCAAAACTGTGGCATTTCCTTCACTGACGCTCTTTACTCGGCAGGGCTAAAACCAACAGTGCACATACTTACTTGCCACCAAAATAAAAGCTTGATGATCTTAGGTTTGAAAATTATGATAATTCATATAAAAAATAACAAACAGAAAGAAAGAAAGAAGGAAAGAAAATGTAAATGTAAGCATTTTATTAAGGGTACTATCAAATTATTGTATTTTATTTAATACTGTTTATTTTAAAATATAATAGTATTATCACACTTTATTATTTTATTTAAAAAACCACAATGTAAGCAAAGCACAATAATACTATTATTATTATTATTATTATTTATTTATTTTATGCAGGGTGAGCACCAAACCAAATCTCCAGGTGCTCTCGAGAACCAGACTAAAAAAACGTATGTGCATCCCTGCTTTACAAAAATATTTGCTATTACCTTTTGTTCTTATTCTGTGGTGGGGGAATACTACTAATAATAATAATTAATAAATAAATAAAAAGCAGAATTGTAAGATGTAAACTCAGAATTCTCAGTAAAAAAGTCAGAATTGCAAGATAAAAAGTTGGATTTCCCTTTTTGAAAAGCTTCCATACAGTATAGAATGCAGCATGTTCAGACAAAAAAATTGTGAAGAATCACACATTTATTTCAAACTAAGCACATCAGTCTCATACACACACATACAAACATACAACATCATGTGTCCCAGATGAGCATTGTTTACAGCATGTGGAGGTTAATTATGCATTTTATGGGCCATTTACAATCTGGTCCGAGAGATGCCACAATGTCCTTCTCACCTCCTGAAGGACTTGTCAGGGAACATAAACCATTCATGCTCTACTAGTGAGTTTCTTTGTCTCTTGACCATGACACACACAGCCATAGCCAGCTTTAACAATCATCACTGTGACTATCCTATGAATCAACTCACAGCACCCTGCCACCCTTCACCTTGACTTTCACTCATAGTCTCATGTCTGTTCTCCTGGAAAATGATCATGCTTACCACTGTTTGGAACAACAACTTCCAGACCATTGCTGATGAGAGTGATGCAGATGCGAGTGACTCAAATCAAATTAAAAAAAGACTGAGAAAACATCTGGTGTGACACACTGATCTTCTAACCTTTACCTCAGTAAATAATTCATCATCAAAGGTTTATCTAAGGCTCTGTTTACACCTGGTATTAAGATGCCGTTTTGTCAATCCAATCACAAGTAGACAGCACTAAATACAGGCGTAAACAGGGTTTTGTATTGTTGTGAGCTCCAGATGTAGTCGACAATGCATTCAACCGGATTGCATTCGTAGTGTAAATGCTCATGAGGCCAAATGCTTTCAAATGGCCGCAATAGACCACCTTCTCTCTGCCTACTGATCTAATCCTTAAACAATATTTCAAATATTCCTTGCAGTAAGCCAGCACAAGGAACATACTCTTCATTATGTTTATATGACAAACTTATGTTTGTTTGTTTTTTTCTTTTCTGTCTCTTTCTACAGCAACTAATGCGAGAGCACCAGCAGATGGCCAGCCGTCCGTTTGCGTATGTTACAGTGGCACTTGAGGCTCCAGAGGAAGAGGAGGAGCTTCTGCAGGGCCAGGTGGAGGTGGGTACTTTCAATCGTAGGTTTGTAGATATTAAATAGTTATTTACCTACTATATTTCAATTGAAAAAATTCAAATGAGTACACCCCCTCAGAAGCTTAACAAATTCAGCAATTACTCTTTACTATCAAATCATTGTTTTAAGTGTGAACGTATAGCAAAAGTAACAGAGAAATTAAAAAACAATGGACTTGTGACTAAAGGCTGGCAAAAGTTATGAAAAGAGTACTGTAACTGTTTGCAACATGCAGAAGTGAAATGTATGATTGTTGTCCAAACAGGAACTATCTACTGTAGCCAAAGCACAGTGAACTCATTTAGCCTTTTCCATACTCTGGTCTCATTAGACCAAGTCAGTCATTTTGGATCTAACAGCATCTAAAATGGTGTGGCATTGATAGGGGAGGAGTACAGTGAGAAGTGCCTGGTTCCCACACTGAAGTTCTGTGCTTGAGAAGTTCTTATGGATATGTGATGTAATACAAAAACTTGAATTAGAAGATGGTACCCTCTCATAATTTCCTGCAATGTTGGGTATTTTTCAACATGACAATGACTATACATTTCCCCAAGGTGGAAAACCTTCAACCTTAACATTCTTGAGCACCTGTGGGGGATTTTGTAGAGACAAGTTGAGCAACACTCCCCATTAAAATCGGCACATTTAAGGAGGTAATCCTCCAGGAGTTAAAAAGGATAGATGGGATGATTTGTCACAAACTTGTACACTCAATGCCAAGAAGGGTCAGTAGAATACTCAGAAGACATATTAAGTACTTAATCAAGGATGTATTAATTTACGCAACCCTTCATTTAATCAAAATTGGCTAATTTGCTTATTTTACAGATGTTATTGACATATATAATCTTATTTGTTTCCTGTCACTGCATTACTTCCAAATATATGCCCCTCAGTACTTGTAGACTTTGATGTCTCATCACTTGAGTTTATTCCACAATACTGTCCTCAGCCTTTGCATTTTTTTCATAATAGAAGACAGTGGAAACCGTGAATTTACAGCTATTTCCTCATTCAGAGGTTGATTAAACAACATCTGGTGTAACAGTGTAGACTCCATTTAGCATAATTGCATAATATATGGGTGAAAATTAGCTCGTTAAGCAGCAAGGCCAAAGAGCAGGGCCATCATCACATTTCATGCCTAAGTTGATTGGTAAGCACAGACTGCGGATGGATGCCAGTTCTCTCACATTGACTATTGCCATTAGAGTGGAAATGTTTGTAGTCCAAGTATTTTCCACAGAGATAAAGACAGCTTTTGACTATTTTCAACTACTTTTCTTTTCACAGTGTTTAATTTCTTTGGTACATGTTATAACAAGTTGAAGTGATATGAAAATCACATCAATTCAAACAGTTATTAATTGACATCAGCTTTACTCTCTGTCATTTTACTTGGTTTAACCAGACTGTGATTAAAGTTGATATTATGCCAGCTGAACTGATTTGATATATTTTGCTGATATGCAGTGAGATTTCTTCTTCAAATTGACCCTGATAGAGCGCCTTTCACTTGTTTTCAAAGTTGCAGACTTATTCAAGGATCTTTTAAATGCCATCTGCAATCATTGACCTCTTATAAAAGTCAATGTTTGGCAGTCTGTTATTTATCGAACGGCTCCTTTATCTTGCGCCGCATACATCTGCATGGTACTGCTGTGTGGGAAGTGCGTTGGAAAAGAGCTCTATGAACATATGCATGGAAATCTAGATGTGCTTTCAAAATACGCCCAATCCTGTTTGAATCATACCAGTTTGAATCATACCAAACTGCTGATTGCTGGAATAACATACTGAGTGCTAAGAGTGTGCTAGACCTGCTGTGCTCAGTATCTAGACTGAAGTGTGTGAGAAACTTTCACTGACTGAGCTGTCTTCACAGTTACCTCCAGAACTCTTCAGGTGCAAACAACATCTGTTGCACCAGAGTAAATGTTCCTCTGATGATTTTTTTAAATGAAATTAAATAGGAAAAAATATATAAAACTATTATTTAAATTATTTTATATTTAATTAATAAATTAAATTAAATGGATATTTTATTATTTTATATATTATTAATTTTATTATTTAAGACACTATTTATCCTAAATAGGAACATGGCATTCACAAATAAGCCCCTTAGAGCTCAGTTGTTGATAACTGTTTGAGTTTTAAATCAAGAGTGTTAAATTATTTATGGATTTTATGGAAGTGTTCCACAATAGGATCTAACGACAAGCGTGAAATAATATCACTGGCTACCATTTGCTAGATATGCTATTGTGCCACATCTGATTGCAGCAGCCTCTATGACCTTGTTGCATTATAAAACAAGAGGTGAGATATTAGCATAAATCTTCAGATAACGTCCATACGACGTAATAAAACTAAGGAAGCCACAGCCCAGAGCAAGCATATCACGCTTTTTGTGTGGACTGATCGATCGCAGTCCATTGTTTCTGTAATGCTGGGAGAAATGAATCAATTTCAGATGTAATGTTTTAATGTGCTTTATTTACCTCCAGTGGGTGGTGTGGAGATAAAGACTATTTATGACACTTATGAGCTGTCTGACTGGGGAAAGGCAACTATTATTCACATGCATGCACAAACACACTTACACGTTCACAGGCTTTAAAACATTAAACGTGCAGGCAGGAACCTTTTAAAAAAAATGTTCTGTACTATTTGACATTTACTACAATTTGTTTTTGAAAGAAGTCTGTTATGCTCACAAAGGCTGCATTTATTTATTCATTTATTTTATTTAAAAATACACTATTTTGAGTAAAATAATATTTATATTTTAATATCTGTAATTACATTTTATAAATGTAATTATCGCTTTGATGGCAAAGCTGAATTTTCAGCATCATTACTCCAGTCTTCAGTGTCACATGACCCTTCAGAAATCTTTCTAATATGCTGCTCAAGAAACTTTTCTTATTATTATCAATGTTGAAATCAATTTTGCTTATTCATATTTTTATGAAAAATTTGAATCAGAATTTCAAAATTCTTTAAATAGAAAGTTTTCACTCTCTCTCTCACTTTTAATAAAATTAATAATTTCTTTAAGAAATCTTAATCAGTAGTGTACATTCTGTAAATAGCATTTAAAATGCACTGAAGCAAACACTGAAAAAAATAAAAATAAGTGCAAGATGGCAGGTAAAGCGAAAGAACTGGTAATTATAAATATAATTAATTAAATGCTGTAATAAATGGATTAAAAACATTTAATTCAAAATTAACTTTTGTTACCCAATATTATGTGTTATGTATGTTAATCCGTATTAGAGCGCCATGCCAAGAATGATGTGCTATTCCTGTTCCTGACAGGTTAACACCACGCTCTATTGAAATTAATAAATCTTTCAGTCATTTATGAGGTTCCATCTCTGTTAGGATGCTGCCTTAGGAGGCAGTTAATGTAGGAAGTTCACAAAGTCCATGCCAATAGGTGTCAGTATACAGACCATGAGCACTGGGACAAAGAAAAACCAGACAGAACTTAAGTGCACCTTCAGTTTTCTTCAAAGCATCTACTATAAGCAAGGACACATACAGTGCTGCAGGCCACATGTCAGTTTCTTCTTTTCTGCACATCAGCATTCTGTAAATTCACTCTGCGATTTTAAAGTAATGCTCTATTAAGTTTAGGTGTTGTTGGATTTTGTTTGGATTTTAAAGTTTTTAGATGGAAAGACAGCTATTGATCGTTCTCAAATTGGTAGTTTTACTGTTTTAATATTAGTCCGTTCCTTGAGATAACATCTCTCTCTACCTCTCTGCTAGGCATCAGTCACTCGCTGTACTCTGGCCAAATGTGCTGCTGATATTAGGAAGCTGAGAGTGGTGGGAGCGATCAGGGAGATGACAACAGTAGTCTACAGAGCAGGGACCCAAACATCTGTTCTGTGATCTGTCTGTCTCTGGACTGCTCTTATCAAAACAATCTCAGCTGTTCAAATACACAGCGGCATCAGTGCCAACACTCATAAGCAAAAAAAAAGAAGGTCTCCGTTCTCCTCTCTATTTCTGTCTGTCATGTCTGGCTCATCAGCAGACAGCAGTGGATGACACTGAAGGGCACTGACTCCCTTTACACAGTTTTTCTCTTCCTCCCTGCAGGCAGATCTTCAGTCCTTAGTAATTCAGAATACTGAGAAATCTTAGGCCACATAAAGTTTCAGGAGTGACAACAGCATTTAAATACAGGAGTGAATTCCTTATTTTATCGTTTTATTGTGTATACAGAACAGAACAGAAATTTTGTGGGTGTTAATTCGGTCATAGAATGCAGTTGGGGGGGGGGGTTATTGTTTTCATTTTGGCTTTGATTTCTTTTGCTTTGTTTTAGATTGGTT